TTTGATGGAGGAGGCTCATAGATCGAAATTCTCGATCCATCCCGGTGCTACGAAGATGTATTTGGACTTGAGGAAGGAATATTGGTGGCCTTGTATGAAGAGAGACGTCGCATGGTTCGTTGAGAGGTGTTTGACCTGCCGTAGGGTTAAGCCGAGCACCAGAGACCGCATGGTAAGTTGCAGCCCTTGGAGATTCCTGAGTGGAAGTGGGAACAGATTACTATGGATTTCATCACCAAATTGCCGAGAACTGCTAGGGGAGTCGATGCAATTTGGGTGATTGTGGATAGATTGACGAAGAGTGCACACTTCCTTGCCATTAGCGAGAGTTCATCAGCGGAGAAGTTGGCGGAGTTATACGTGAGAGAGGTAGTATCTCGGCATGGAGTGCCGATCTCGATTGTTTCAGACCGTGATGTACGCTTCACTTCCAGGTTCTGGAAGAAATTCCATGAGGAGCTGGGTACTAAACTGCATTTTAGTACCGCATACCATCCCCAGACAGACGGTCAGAGCGAGCGGACGATTCAGACATTGGAAGACATGCTTAGAGCGTGTGTGTTAGACTTCGGGGGTAGCTGGGATGCGCATTTACCTTGGCTGAGTTTTCCTACAACAACAGCCATCATTCGAGCATTGGTATGCCACCTTTTGAGTTGTTGTATGGTAGGAGGTGTCGGACTCCCATTTGCTGGGGAGAGGTGGGACAGAGAGTGATGGGCAGTACAGAGATCGTACTCCAGACGACAGAGCAGATTCAGCAGGTTAGGCAGAGGTTATTGACCGCCCAGAGCCGACAGAAGAGTTATGCGGACAGACGCCGGTCCGAGCTGGAATTCCAGGTTGGCGACTTCGTTCTCCTGAAGGTTTCTCCTTGGAAGGGAGTGATCCGGTTCAGAAAGAGGGGCAAGTTGGGGCCCCGGTTCATAGGTCCATTTCGTGTAATTGCAAGGGTAGGTCGGGTAGCTTATCGGTTGGAGTTGCCAGCAGAGTTGGGACAGATTCACAATACCTTTCACGTATCACAGTTGAGGAAGTGTATAGCCGATGAATCGGCAGTGGTTCCGTTAGAGGATATTCAGGTGGATGCGAGCCTGAATTACGCCGAGAGACCGGTAGCTATCAGGGATCGGAAGATCAAGGTTCTGCGGAACAAGGAAGTACCTCTGGTGTTGGTTCAGTGGCAACATCGGAAAGGATCGGAGATGACTTGGGAGCCGGAGCGTGAGATGCGGGAGCAACATCCGGAGTTATTCGCAGAGTGAGACTTCGAGGGCGAAGTCTAGTTCTAGTGGGGGAGAGTTGTAACAGCCCGGAATTTCAGGTATTGCTTTAAAGCTATTTTTGGGGCATTTTTGGAAGGGACTCGGCGAGTTGGAGCCAGACTCGCCGAGTAGGACCACAGACTGGGTCGCGGGTTCGCGACTGGACTCGACGAGTCCATTATGGACTCGGCGAGTCTACGCTGTTCAGCAGAAACCCTAGCCGTTTGGTTTTGGATCGTATATAACGCCCATATGCCGTCATTGTC